CGGTCCACTTTAATTAATTTTTTGCCTCTTTTTTATGCTCCATAATATTTGATTTTTTCAAATATCAAGAAGGAATTAATTTAATTTTTTCAAAGTTGCCCTTAAGAGTAAAGAGCCTAGAAGTATTTTTATATTTTCAATAAACAAATTAAGGTTAATATGGTCTATTTCATTGTTAATTAGTGCTAAAAGGTGAATTTCTTAATATGTGTCAGAACAGCTAAAAAATTACTTAAAGTGGACCGGAGGGAGTAATAATTTAGAGCGAGAGAGAGAATTGTTTGAATTTGGGAATACTTTTTTTTTTTGAAATATAAAAGAATATCATTTTAAAAATTTGCATTTAAATTCTAAGACCTAGGATAAGATAGTTATAAAATAACTACACACATAAAAATAGATAACAAAAATTAAAAATAATAAAATTAAACAAAAATTTAAGCTTGAAATAGCTACTTACGCGTTAAGCTATACGTTTAGATTTATGTATCTTTTTCTTATGTGTAATAATAAAATAATAATAATCTATATATATTCTATATATTTATTTTGTTAAATCAAATCAATTCAAAATATATCCAAGCTTTTTAATTAAAAAATAAAATAAAAAAAATATTATCCAAGATTTTGAATTGAAAAATAAAACTCCAAAGATGGAAAAAGACCTTGAGATTTTGGTAAAGTATAAAGTATGGGCATATACACTTTTATTTAATTTATCTATTATTGGATTAAACACTAGATAAAATAATTATATAAAATCTATAATAGAGGAAACTAATACAGAAATAGGGGAACTAGAGATAGTGTGAGAGAATTTATACTTTGAATTAATTTTAAAAATAAAATAATAAATAAATATACTCAAAAATATTATTGATAAGTTTGAATATGAGTAATATAATAGAAGAATAAAAGTATAGGAAAAATCTACGGAAAGGGCCAAAACTGCCCCTAGACTATTTGCTTAAGTTTAAAATACCCTTCGTCCATCTTTTTTGTAAAAATTGCCCTCACCGTTACAAATTTAGCCCATTCATGCCCCTAACGTCAACTTTTCGGCCCACTCATACCCTAAAAACTAACAGCCCTATTTTGATTAAGAAAAAAATTATTATTTATTATGTGTTAATTTTCTATTGGCTTAAATTAAAACCTCACCCCATATCCACTTATTAGCCTACTCCGTCTTAGATTTTCACCTTTCAACACCCACGGATCTCCCTCTCCATCTCAGATTTTTCGGACTTAATTTAATTTTTAAATTAATATTTTTTATTAAATCAATTTTCTGAGTGAAATCAGGTACTCTTTGAAATTAATGCTTCATTGTAAGATTTTATGGTTTAATAAGTTATTTTTCTGCCAATAGTAATGATCATTGAGCATTTGCAATATTTTTTGTTCTATATTTCCTGACAACACTGCATCCAATTTTGATTATACCAATGATTTATTTGGTCTCTGCTCGGCCTCGACCTTTTTCTTCTTCATTGGCTCATCATAGTCTGAACATCCGACCATGTCCATAAATTAAGCTATTGTACGTGGATGCTCTTCAGGTTATATCAACACCGCCAATTTTAAAAAAGAGACGGTTAAATCAAGAGAAATATTTGAGATCATATGCTTGAGAATATGAGAGAATATGACTTATTGGTGAATGTGACTGTAATAAAGTTGCTCCCAAACGCACACGCAAGTATACGTGGTCGGCAAGTAATATAATGATAAGTTGAGTGTCGAACCCACAGAGACTTGTGTAAACTACTCACTAAATCGCTAAAATTGTTATTCAGTCCAGCTAAAATCAAAGTCCGATAATATGATTATACGATACTACGATTCTAAATAATAACTAAATTATCAAGTAACGAGTTGATTGTTGTGTATTCAGTAGAGACAAGTATTCCAGGGTTATGATCGATTCACCAATCATATTGTGTTCTAATTAACTCTCCCCTTCATATAATTCACTCATGGTTGCTAATTAATCGATAAATGCTCTCATAGCCTTCTCCCGAAGTACTACTCACCTATT